AACTTTTTATTAAAAGTGTTGTTGGTATTGATTCCCGCATAATTAGAAAAAAAAATTGCAGCATAATCATTAAACCCAACGCTTCTTCGAAACTGATTCCTGCATAATCAGAAAATGAAAGCACCTCATTAGCTGTTTTCCCTTATAGCTTTCTCTCACAGCAATTTTTAACAATAAGTGATTTTCTCATAGTTTACCAAACGGGTTGGGCTTCCCAAATTTTAAAAAAAATCACTTATCACCACAAATAAGCAATGCCAAACGAGCACTTACATTAACCAAGGATATTTTCTGGTATTTTGAATATTTTAGGTGATCTAATTATTCTCTGTCTTTTGCTTTATATAGATGATCTAATTTAACTATTATTGACTCAACCTTGGCTTTAAACCTAATAATATCACTAATATATTAGCATACAATAACTTTCCTGACTCTACTATTACCCACCATACAAAGAAAGACGTTCTGCTTTTTTGGTGCAACAAAACTTATTTACTCCTTAAAAGAAACTTCTTTATTTACTATATATAACAATAATGATTTATGTAATACAAAAGAAGTTATATGTAAATGAAGGAGATGGACTAGGCTCATATGCAGTCAAAGGATTGAGAAATCAAAAGAGGAGCACCAATAGAATTTTGAGAGCCTCTGCCTGTCCTCCCTCCATACATCTGATCTCTGTTTTCTCCCACTGTGCATTAAAACCCACGGACTGCACCACTGTTCTCTGAAGCAGGGGAAGATTGCGCCCCAAGCAACAGCCACGTCTCTCTCCTTGGAGGAACCCACCTGGAATGCATATAATATTCCTCCTAAAGGACCAAAATACCCTCACAAGTCCTAGCACAAACAAGCAAAGTTTCCTCCAAAGCTCATGCCCCTTTTCGTCCACTGAATTCCCCCTCTTTAAAACCCCTCTTCTTCCCTCACAAAAATCACTCCTCTTCTTCTTACCCACAAAAACACAGCATTCTGAGGAAAAAGCACAAAAAATTGATCAACAAAGAACAAAAATGGTTCATGCAAAACGCAGCAGCAGCTGCTCGCCCAAAGCCCAAAAGCTTCTCACCCTCTCAGCCCACTATCTCAGCATCCGAGATTTCTCTTTTTGCCGCAAATTCGCTCTCAAAGCTCGAGAGTCCGACCCGCACAACTCCGGGGCCGACCAAATCCTCGCCGTAGCCGACGTACTCCTAGCCGCCGATCACCAAAACCCAACTGACTGGTGCTCCATTCTCCAAATACCGCGACCCGGCTCTGAAAACCCGACACTCGTCCGGACCCAGTTCGAGAAACTCAAGACCCTCTTGGAACCCAGCAAGAACGGGTTCGCTTTCGCTCAGGAGGCCTTTGAGCTCGTCCAGAAAGCTTGGTCCTTCCTGTCGGACCAAGACAAGAAAACCCATTTCGCAAATGGGTCTGAGAATGGGCAAGAAACCCCAAAACAGAGAGAGCAGAAGGAAAAAAATGTGGGGGAAAATGGTAAAGGGTGTAATGTGGAAGTGACATTTTGGACAGTTTGTCCGTACTGCTATTACATGTTTGAGTACGGGAAGGTGTATGAGGATTGTTGCTTGAGATGCCAGAATTGCAGGAAAGCGTTCCATGGAGTGGCAATAAAGGCGCCATCACCGGATATTATAGTGCAGGGGAAGGAGCAGTACAATTTCTGTTTTGGGTATTTTCAAATGGAGTACATGCACCCAAAGAAGCAGATGGAGACAGAGGTAATTGGCAAGAAAGACAATGATGTTGTGGTTATCTCTGATGATGATGATGGTGATGATACTAATGATGAGTTTGAGGATGATTTGGTGGATGGTAATGTGGGTTTTGAGGGAATGCATGAAGAAAAGGTAAAGATTGGGAGTGAAGGAGTTGTGGGAACTGATATAGGTGGGATTGGAAGAGCAGAGTTGAGGAGTGAAGGGAAGACACCAGTGAAGAGGGTGAAGACTCTAGCAAGGCGTCTGAAGAGCGTCAAATCGAAATCTGTGGCATGGAATACGAAGAAGATAATGGGAAATGAGATGAGAAGCAGGAGGGTTGAGTTGATGGGTGATGAGAGAGTGGAAGGAGTGGACACGAGTGTTGAAGATGGAAATGGAATTGATAAGGGAGGTAGTGGAAGTGGGAGTGGAATGGATGGGCTGGAGCTTTTTGAAGGAGAAGATGATATCTATGTTGGTATAGGGGATAGTCCGGTTTGAAAGGAATGGAAAGGTAAGAGATTTCAGGGTGGTGATGGAAGTTCCAAAATTTTATATGGTTTAACTTTGGAAGGGTTTTAGCAAGTAGGAGCAAGGCTTTTGAGTAATTGGCTGGCTCACAGTTGAAAGTAGACTGGATTACACGGTAGACTCATCAACCAGGTGCTTTGATCTCATAGTAGAAATTAGGTAATAGTTTAGCTAAGGTAATATTAACCAACTTTATCTTATAAAATGAAAAGTTAAGCAGATGTTCTGGTATCTCTTGCAGCTTCAGTTCTAAGTCTGCTTAATTTTGTGGATAAATAGATTAGGATGACTGATTTTGAAGCACAATGACCTGATAGTTGATGGTAGTTTCTGTCTTGTAATGGTTCACCCCACTTTGATTGAACAATGCTTGCAGTGAATGGTAAATTGGCAATCAAGGTTTTTATGTTCTGTTTTGCTTGGGGCCTTTACGAGTTATTGCTTTACACACTGAATTATTCAACTTAAATCCTTAGACTGTTAGTTGTTTCCATTTGGTTTATCGGGAGCTTGTTAATCTTGACTATACCAATTTTAAAATGAGTTGACAACCAAGTAGCAATACGGAAGTTACCCCAGCTCAAAAAGTGAAGAAGTGCCTCTCACCTCTGCCACTAAAAGATGAATGGATGCAGCCATTGTGCAGCATATTGTGGTAAGAGATGCAATGTGATAAATAATGAAATGCAGTTTTAGTAAGAGTTACTATCCTTTTTCCTCGTACATTAACAATCTTGAATGTACTTACTTCGTATCCGTTCTTATTTAGCTATTGTTTAAGTTAATACATCCTCTTATTGCAGGCCTTCTCTGTCATCCTTATGAGTATATTGTTTAAGATATATTGGATATATCTTTAGGCTCTTACTGTTCCTCTCTTTCGCATATATTATCCTTAGGCCCTTAGTGGTGGTGAGATGAAAGACCTAAAGCTGATGGTCAATAGTTGAAGGCAGTAAGGGAAAGATAATGATAATTGTAGGTTGAATTTTGCCATATAGCAGAATGCTGTAAGTTATCTGTATAGAGGATGTTATACAGGAGAAAACTCATGTGGAAAAATGCTGGTCCTTCAGGTAGTTCTCATGGTGCTATCAAAGAACAATTAGAGAAAGCAAGTTAAGCAACTCACAGGGCCACCAATGATAGGCTTCTAGAGTATAATATGAATGTTTTGATGCCTTTGCATTTTGCTGCAAAGTATTAAAACACTGAGTATGATATAATTATTTTAGTTGTTGCCTGTTTACATAATTATGAATATGAGATGGTGTCCGTGAAAAATATTAGCAATGGAGTTAACAATGTCAGGTTGATGGTAGCTATGGCTACTGTATTGTGCCCTCAGGGCTCTACCATTACAGGCCATGATTTATGTATGAGAACTGTTTATATTAAGCACTGATGCCATGCATACTTTGGACAATTGGAATTTGCACCTTTTTTGATAGTCATAAGTTACAGTCAACTTGGATTTTGCTTTATTTTTGGATTGATGTGATGATGTGAAGGGCTCTGGCTTTTTGGTTGGGAGGAAGCTAGAAGTGAGAAGGAAGAAGCAACATATTCATTAATTGAGTTACTTGTGTAAAAATGGAAATGCTAATATGAAGAAACCAAATTGTCCTTTTATTATTATTAATTTTTGAGAGCATGCAATATTTGTTGCTACTTTCAATCATAGTTAAGGTGTTATGATGTATGGTTATATATATTTCAAAAGTTTAACCAATAACCATTATTTTGTGTAATTAATACTTGGCACATGCATTTTGAGAGGAGTGACACTGAGATAAAAGCAGGTAAAATTGTATCACGTGTGTAAAGAGTAATGCTAGAGAGACCACATTGTTGTACCACTTCTCTAATAGAGGTAGAGACAACCAATGCAAGTAGGTCTTATCTCTATTAGAGACATGATACAAAAGGCAGTACAATAATAGTCTCCCTAACATTTTTCTTAAGTAAATTCGGAAAGGAAATTATTTATAGAAATTAAGAGCGAGTATTTCTCCTTATTAGCAATGACGTATTATATTTATTAAAAAAAAAAAAGAGGAGAAAAATTGATAGTAAGAACATAAAAAAAAAGATGAGAAAAATTGATAGTAAGAACGAATGACTATTTGGTCTAGTGACATCAATATCTACTTTGTTAGAAGAAGTCGGTCATATTGATATAAAAGAAGAAAAAAAAACCAAGTATGAGAGAGTAATAGATGTGATTCGTGACTCATGTGATACTGATACCCAAAGTCATCTTCTGTATTTTATTGATACTGTTTTGCCTTTTTTGGTTTATTCTATATGATTGCAAATTTTAAATTTATAGCACACCCAATATCCAGATTTCAGGATCGCACAATAATTACCCTAATAGTAAATGTCATTTATTAGGTTCGATTTGTCACATTTAAATGCAAATATATTCCATCGTAAGCACTGGTAGCAGAAGATTTCCTATATAAAACACAAACATTGTCTTTCCCTCCATTGTTTTTAGTGCAATTCTTTCATGGTTTTACTATTGCAACAGGTAGCATCCCTCTCCTCTGTTCTTTTCCAATTTGTTCTATTTCCCCTTCTCTTTCTTTAATTCTTTTGTTATCAGATTTTTTTTTTCCTTTTTTCTAAATGGTGCGATTATTTTAGACAGGTTATAGCATCTTCTGTATTTTATTGATATTGTTTTGCCTTTTTCGGTTTATTCTATATGATTGCAATTTTTAAATTTATAGCACACCCAATATCCAGATTTCAGGATCGCACAATAATTACCCTAATAGTAAATGTCATTTATTAGGTTCGATTTGTCACATTTAAATGCAAATATATTCCATCGTAAGCACTGGTAGCAGAAGATTTCCTATATAAAACACAAACATTGTCTTTCCCTCCATTGTTTTTAGTGCAATTCTTTCATGGTTTTACTATTGCAACAGGTAGCATCCCTCTCCTCTGTTCTTTTCCAATTTGTTCTATTTCCCCTTCTCTTTCTTTAATTCTTTTGTTATCAGATTTTTTTTTTCCTTTTTTCTAAATGGTGCGATTATTTTAGACAGGTTATAGCTAGCTAGAGCAAGATATGCAGTCCATCTCAAGTTATTATACGAAGCAAATCAGCTTCCCAAAAGGCCAAGGAGTATTCCCAGTGAATACTATCTACTCCAAAAGCTTCTTTAAACCAAAATCAAAGGCAGAGACTAAAGTAATTGCAGCCAAGAAACACAGTGACTCAGAGAGAAGACGAAGGATGCGAATCAATGGTCAATATGCCACTCTTCGTACCGTCCTCCCAAACTTGATCAAGGTAATTATCTACTCTTAACATTCATGTGCATTAAAGAAAAACTTTCTGTTGCCAACCAGATTGTGAATTAGAACCATCGGTTAAGAGTTATGTTTAAACATATGTGCGGCCTCATTTACAATTTGACAACGAAACATAGATTGTGAATAAAAAACCGTTGATTTATTAGTTGGAATTATGTTTGAATGTGCAAAGCTTCATTTGTAGTATGACAATATAACATGTCATGTATTTCACAATTTTTCTAAAATAAAATATTTCTTTGACACACAGATGGACAAGGCATCTGTGCTTGCTGAGACGGTCCGGCAAGTAAGAGAGCTGAAGAAGGCCGTGGCAGAAGTGGAAGCAGCATGTCGCCACAGTGACAGTGATGAATGTGTTTTACCAGGTGGGGTTGACAAGTTGAGTTTGGAGCAGTGTGATGGAGAGCAAGAAGGGCTTGTGAAGGCAACATTGAGCTGTGACGACAGGCCAGGGCTGATATCGGACATGACAAGGGCACTGAGCTCTGTGAAAGGGAGGGTGGTGAGGGCTGAGATGGTGATAGTGGGTGGAAGGAGTAAAAATGTGTTGTGGATTCAAGGGTTGAGTGATGGAAAAGAAGGGATGGTGACGCTACGGAGGGCATTGAAGGTGGTTATTGACAGGCCTATTTTTGCAGGGCTTAGTAAGAGGTTTCATCTTCCTCAGTGATTTGGTTGTGAGTAGAGCTAACCCATACAACAACCATAACTTGTGTTTGATAGGCTAACACAATTTAGGATCAAGTATGTATCTTAGTTGATTTCTTATTAATTTATCATTAATAGGAATGAATATCATTTGTCTCCCTGCTACTTGTGGAACTATGCTGAGGAGATGTACCTTGTGTCAACAGGCCATCAAATTCATATGGCCATTCACAAAACAAATAAGAACTTAAATACAATCATTTCTTATAAGTTAACAAAATTCTGACTCACCCATCCTTGGCGTAGCCCAGTGGTTAGGGCGAACTTGCGATTGTGTGTGCTCCACAGGTCATGGGTTCGATTCCCCACGGGATCAAACCAAGATTTAAATGGGGGCTCATGGCTGTGGGTTGATACGCTAGTCTAGCCTGAGTTTAGATGATTAGAAAAAAAAATGTTGGGTACCAATACCATCTACTTCTAATCTGAATGACATTGAGATCATGCTACAAAATAGACTGCTTACGTTGGACAATGTCACAAAAGGGTTGGTGGATAGTTTTAAATATAGATACGTTTCGAATTAATGTTTTTGCGAAGGTGAGCTAACCACTACTTTCTCCACACAAACCCAACTAGATTTCATCAAACATTGACAACTTAATTTGGACTTTCTCCCTATAAATACCTTTTAGACATGTTATGCCTTCAACTCAAAACAAGAAACAGAAACAATTACTCACATATATTGAAGAACTTGCTCTGTGTGATCCTGTATATCAACCAATATGGCAGGTTTCAAGCATTGTTTCCTACTATTGTCTATGATGGTAGCAGCGTTGTGTTTATCAAGCCTTGATGTGAGCCTGGCGGCCCGGCACCTTCTGGACACAGCAGCTCCACCCCCAGCATTGACGCTGCCTACCATTCCATCTCTTCCCATTCCCAAGGCTACATTGCCTCCACTGCCTTCCTTTCCAACACTGCCTAAAGCCGCATTGCCACCACTGCCAACCACCCCTTTAATCCCAGCACTGCCAAAGCCCACATTGCCTTCTTTCCCAAGCACCCAAATCCCAACTATGCCAAAACCAACATTGCCAACCATCCCCACTGCTCCCAAGGTCACTCTTCCTCCACTTCCTTCCACTCCATTGCCAACTATGCCGACTACGATCCCTTCAATCCCCTCCATTCCAACAACAATTCCAACAATTCCAACAATTCCTTCCCTGTTCCCGCCTCCATCAAATTAAACAGTTCTACCTAGTTCTGTTGCCATGGTGGAGATCCCACATTTGCATTTATCTACATCCTACTAGTTTATGGTTCTGTTTCAGAGGATTCTTTCTTTTCATGCACCGATATTCGTAGATGCAGAATTCATTTTCAGCTTCACATGTGTGATGTTATATTTATATTGTTGTTTGCTCTGTTACTAATATATTTATAAAAATCATCTGTTTTTGTTATGAGCTCCTCTTGAATCTCTTGTCTTGTGGGTATGAGCATCGTATTTTTAAAGCAAACACTGGAAGAAAAGGCCGATCATCCACGAAACATTGAGAATCTTGAAGGCTAATTTAATCGAAACAATTTATACTTCAATCAAAAAATGATAACCTATTCTAAGTCTAGTTTGAATGATGCCCTGAAAAAAGAAAAGAAAAGAAAAGAAACAGTATGGATCAATCTCGTATGCAAATCGATTAGAATGGCTAAAGCATCAGGATATTTGAGCCAGAGGAGGCTGCAAGATTCTCATAGACCCTACAACCTCCTAATTTATTAGGACCTGCTCTTTATAGGACAAACTGACAAAATTATAACATCAAGATGACCAAGCGCATAAAGTATAGAGTAATTACAGAACATTAAATCAGGAATTTTGCAACTAGCCTAGGAACTGTTTCTTGTTACTTCATTTTTTTTGTTGAGTTTCTGTGATTTTTTATTTGATAGATACATTTTATATAAGACCAAGTCAAAAAACTTGTTACAAATCACTAGCAAAGATGCGACGGCGTTTCAGGTTGGATGGTCGCATTCGGCCAAGAGACTCAGACCTCGACGCAATCATGATGATCTTTAGAGAAATTTTCCGTTGATAATCCGTCTGGACAATAGATGCACACAAAACTTAGATTACACGTTTAGCTACAATAGCAGGAGGGTTGAAAAATAAACAATACATATGTAAATTTCAATGATCCGAACGGCCCATTTTCAATTCAATGATCATTATCACAAACAAATAAAAACAAAACAATTACTCAAACTGGAAGCATTTTAGACATCTCATTGTGAAAAAATTAGATAGAAGAACATAGTGCTTGCAATAAAATCAATGATTTCAAATAGCTAAATGAAAATTTTATGGTTGATTTTTGGCAGGGCTGATTGTTAAAACCCAACAATGTTGGCAGAACTATTCACTTGTACAACAATTCAATATACTGAGAAATACAGAAATCTTTTCCTCTGTTTCTTTCTATGAATATTCTAGATTTTTCTCTCTCATTCTTCTCTGTTAGCAAAATGTACCATGAAAAATAGTTAGGAAACCTTAGTTATACCTGGCTTAAGGCAACATCATAAATTTTTTCCTCTATCTTTACAGCAGTTCTCCTGATTTCATCTAATCCGTCCCCGGAGAAGGGAGGATACCTCTTTATTGCATCCATTCTGCATAAGCAATACATTTAATCAAATGTTACTAGTACTGATTATCAGGAGAGCTCAAACAAAACAATAACACTTAAACTTAATAACATGTAATTAATCAATAATCTAAAATGTATCTGTATAATCTGTTGACACAGTCACCCTTACATCTTGACGACAATTCTTTGCCGTGAACTTGGGAGAAACTGGGTCCTCCAAATCACTGTCGGCATCCATCAAATCTGCCAAACCGAACCAGCAGTAGTAAAGATTTAAGACGAAAAAATTGGGTTGCAACTTCAATGAAAGTGCAGTTTCATGTTTTTTTTCTTTCTTTTTTTCTTTTTTCAGTAATGGAATAGCAATATGAACTTGGAATATATCTTTTTATATATATAAGCGATAGTCTAAATTACTTATGGGGAGGGGATTCGAACTTGAGGCGGACACATTGCCTTGACCAACTTGCCTAACTAACATGTCCGCAAGTTCAACTTGTAGTATTAACTTGAGCAATAGATTGGGGATGTAGAAAAGGTTACCAGGGGCTGGAGTTGAAGACCAGAGTGAGATATAAGAGGTTCAGAGAGTTTTCAACACGAGAACGAAGAGCAAATAATGCAAGGGGAAAGCAGGGTTAGTTTAGCTTCTAAATTTTGTTTATTAATGATGCATCGATATAAATTAGGTTCTAATTCTAAATGGCATTACATTAGAAAGGTTACCAGGGGCTGGAGTTGAAGACCAGAGTGAGATATAAGAGGTTCAGAGAGTTTTCAACACGAGAACGAAGAGCAAATAATGCAAGGGGAAAGCAGGGTTAGTTTAGCTTCTAAATTTTGTTTATTAATGATGCATCGATATAAATTAGGTTCTAATTCTAAATGGCATTACATTACTTGACGTCTCCATCACAAATTTTGTTTAGTAATATGTACAATAACCTAAAACGTATCTTGTTGATAGTTCTTTGTCATGAATTCACCTGGCGAGAGTTGCCTCCAATCGTTGGTATCCATGAAATCTAACCAAACTGTCAAACAAATTACACAAAAATAAAGTGGATTGCAACTTCAATGGAAAGTGCCTTTTTTTGTTTCTTTTTCAATAGAGATCGAATTGCCACTTCAACTTGGAGTTTTTAATTACTATTTATCCTGAAAAGACCCGCCAGCCATGCGTATGGGATTAACTGTGGAGTTTTTTTCTTGTGATTGCGAAGGTGCCACTGTTGACAGTTAAAAACTCCAACGGACTGAGAGGAAAAAATGAAAAATATACCCAAGTATTGACTTTAAACAAAGCGATTATGAATTGGGTGGGAAATTGGTCCAATATAGATTCTTTTTTATGCCTTAGATTGAGCAAGGACTTCAATATTTATCTAGTACAACTAGTAAGATAGAATGAAATACAAACTTGAATTTAGGCATGTAGAAGAAATAGAAGGAAGAAGACTGGAGCAAAAACAGATAAGTTTCATTCAATCTGATCAAAACAGCAACGGCTCCAATACAAATAGAGGCAACGCCTCTTTTGAGAGTGAGACTTTTTAGCAAAAACAGAAAACATCCTAGAGACTAGAGAGCACTCCACCGAAAGCATGACTCACTGAGACAAAAAAACAAGACATGTCCTACATAAAGCATGGGAATTGGAATTCAAGATGGAAGGCCCAGATTTCATGCAATTTACATTGTACTTCCAATGGCCCAAATTTCTACATAGATATTTTTATGATAGTTTGTAGGTAAAATCATATATCCTCCAAATTTTAATTTTTTTATGTCCATTTATTTGGAAAATAAAATAAATCTAACGAGCACAAAATTAATTTTAAAAAGTTAAAACACAAAAATAAATTATCACAAACATATCAAATATGCACCTTTGGATTTACATCGTTTCCCATTGGAGCAAAAAACGTATTTACATTCATGGAGGTGTAAAGAAAATGTAAAGGTGACTTTACACTCCAAAAAATACACCCTGTCGATGCTTAGTGGCTCCAATGATCAAGGCTGGCTCCATTATGATTAAAAAAATAAAACAATTCCTCTACTTGCCACCAAATGGTGAGTCGGGTGGGTAGGAACGAATTAGTGCCAAAAAAGCAAGGATAAAAATACAGACTCCTCCAAAACAAGAAATAAATCTAACGAGCACAAAATTAATTTTAAAAAGTTAAAACACAAAAAAAAACATAAAAAAAAATTATCACAAACATATCAAATATGCACCTTTGGATTTACATCGTTTCCCATTGGAGCAAAAAACGCATTTACATCCCTGGATGTGTAAAGAAAATGTAAAAGTAACTTTACGCCCCAAAAAATACACCCTGTCGATGCTTAGAGTATCCACAGTGGGGGGTGTAAATTCGGGGGTATAAAGCCACTTTTACATCCATTTTACACCTCCATGGGGGTGTAAATACGTTTTTTGCTTCAATGGGAAAAGATGTAAAAGATGTAAAAATAGATGTAAAGCCACTTTTTCTTCATTTTTCTTCTCTTTTCTCGGGTGGGTCCCGTCTACAAAAGATGTAAAAATAGATGTAAATGTACATTTTATTTTACATCTCTATGGTAGTGATGTATATTTACAATCCTTTACATCTCCCCATTGGAGACGATTCCGATGACAAGAGATGTATATTTAACATACACCCCCATATACACCCTCCCATTGTGGATGCTCTAAGTGGCTCAGGCTAGCTCCATTATGATTAAAAAAATAAAACAATTCCTCTACTTGCCACCAAATGGTGAGTCGGGTGGGTAGGAACGAATTAGTGCCAAAAAAGCAAGGATAAAAATACAGACTCCTCCAAAACAAGCTCCTGCACTATCATTTTTTTATATTTCCTTTCCATTCCATTTTGTTATCCTTTGTTTGCTGGTGCGCCGCCCTTTCCAACATCTTCATCATTGCTCCATTTAATATATATTTTTAAAAACTACCACTCAATTCTTCATTCTGGCTAGGAACTTCTTTCTTCAATCAGCTAGGATTGGCTAGAATTAGTTCATGAACCAGCCATAATTTAAGCAAAAATGAGCCATATATTGGTACTGTGCAATGACCAAAATCCCTTAGTTTATCGAAGACAAATTTCCAATTTTGGTACGATCAATTACCTTGAGCAAGAGATTGCAGAGGGATGACAATTTTTTCCCGAATTAGGCTCTTCGTGGGGCTTTAACTCTAATAGGTCGGGTATGAAAGGTAAAAATAACTATAGGGGCGAATTTTGGAAAAATTTTCGGGTATGATTTTCGGGGCTGGGAAAATTTTCGGGTATGATGTTCGGGGCGAGGTAGGGATGATATTTTATAAATTCTCTTAATCCCCAAACCGAACCTGCCCTGTTTAAAATATATATTATTTATTTTTCATGTGAATATATTGTTAAGTCTTCTTTCCTAAGACTCTCACCAAATTTTATGTTCCACATATCATATTATATATTGAATTAAATAATACATTAGAAAAATGTAAGTCTAAACTAAAAGTTTTGTGTTGTATATTTAGTTTCTAACATTTTTTTCTCGTTCATAAATTATTTTTTATTTGTATTTTTGTAATGGGGCAGGGTGGGGAATTTCTTCTCCTAACGAATGAGGGGATGGGGAATCCCCATTTTCCCCATTTTGAATAATACGAGAAGGCGGGACAGAGTATAGCCACATTACCATCCTTATGAGATATCCGAGCTTGAGACTTGAGAGAGCTTCAAGATGAGAACCAAATAAGAATAGAAGGTAAAAGGGAACCAAGATTCAGGAGTAGCAATTTCAGACACGACTTGAAATCCGCACGAGAAATTCACGAATTCAACCCGCATAATTAAATTTTGGGTTATTTTCGGGTCAATCCCTTCCCACCACTTATAAAAAAAAAACATTATTTTCTCTCTTTCTTTTTTCTTTCTCTTATCTCTTCTCTCTCTCTTTCTTTTTTCTTTCTCTCCGCCAGTTTTCTTTTGTTTTTCTCTTCTCTCTCCTGTCTCTCTTTCTTTTTTTCTTTCTTTTCTTTCTCTCTTCTCTCTCCTCTCTCCTCACTCTCTTTCTTTTTTCTTTCCTTTCCTTATCTCTCTTTTTCTTTTTTCTTTCTCTTCGCCCAAAGTTATGATTATTATATTTTTTTTACATAATGACAAACTTGATTGATAGTTGTTTCAGAAATTCCGGGTGGTAGCAAGGTCCTGTAAATCTAGCTCAGAAATGTCATGTCATGTCGTGTCGTTCAGAAATGTCATGTCGCGATAAATTATTTGGGGACTGGTGGATATGGAGTATGGTTGAAGTTGTATTTTTTTTTTTATTCTTCCCTAATGCTCCAGTTGGATGAAGGAATTGCAAATTACATAGAATTCTAAAATGACGGAATTTAAATTTCCGTCATTTCAATTTCTGGCAATTGAAGATTTCAGTGTTTGGATTTATGTATGTCGAATTTTGTAATCGACAGAAATTGAAAATTTCAATGTTTGGATAGCTCATTTAAATTGTAAATGACAGAAATTATATATTTCGAAAGAACAAAAAAACTGATAACTAACATATAAGGTATTCCTCGAAGTATAAAATAACATATCGTTTGATGAACTAAATAACTCAACTTAAACAAACAGAGCATATTAGCAAACCAAATCACTCTCCACGTGTAATAAACATCAACAACATACTTTTTTTTTTTCTTAATTGGGAGTGCCTTCAGCATCTGAAATTGTTTGTCATTTTCAATCAGCCAAGCACATGCTTTGAGTTGTTTATTTTCACTAAGACCTGGTACTGCTTGTACTACAACATATACCTTTGCTGGATCAAGGTTCTTAGTATTAGCACGGATAAACTCTTCAAATGATAAAGTCATTCTAGCAATCGAATCAGCAATAACATCTTTTACAGCACCTCTTTTATCTGTAGGAAGAATATTAGAAGAATTTGATGCCCTATTTCTTCTCTTTTGACCATTTGTTGAGGTTGGTGAAATATCACCAATAACATGACTATCTTCTTAATCTTGTGTATCACCATTCAAATCAACATGATCAACTTCATTAGTAGGAGTCATAACCTCAGTTGCATCTGCACCTATTTCAGCGCCCTCGATTTTCGGCATCATATAACAATCAACAAAGCTTTTCGTTTCCTTACATAGTATATAAAAAGCTTTTCAGCAACATAGGCTTTTTCTTCAGAGTAAGGAAACGAAGGATAAAACTTGAACAAGACGATAACACAAAGCGATAAAGCTAGCAAACAATTATAGAGTTGTACCATAAACACAAATCACACACCAATATCCATGGGCATAGAATATTTTGTTAAAACTTCCAAAAATCCAGCCATAGTGCTGCAAAGATCACAAAACCCATTCAACACATATTCATAAATTTAGTCAGAAACATCCAATTTTGATAGCCATTTAGAAACCGTGGTAACCCTGAAATAGAAAAACCTAAATTGAAGGAGAAAGGCTTGAAGACTAACCTTCAAATTTGATCCAGAGAGATGTGTAATTTTTTTTTTTAAAATTAATGAAAAGTTTGGTGGTTTTTTTTTATGTAAGTTTTGGCACATTGGAAAATATGAATTCCAGCACTATGAAAATTGTGAAATGACGCCTATTTTGGTGGAAATTAAACTCGGGAATTTGATGCCTCAATTTCCACGATTTTTTCCGTGCGTCATTTAATAAATTCCGCGCTTAAGTTGCAAAATAAGGGAATTGTCAATTTCTCCTCTTAAATTCCCGACTTTTAGCTAAATTCCGAGTTATTTTCCCTCATCCAAACGGAGGGTAAGAGAAGTGTGGGGTTTAAATAGAAAATCACTTTTTCAAATTTACATAGTAAGTGGAAAAATAAGATGGGTGAGAAAATAGGACCAGATGGCGGAAATAGAAGTACTCCTTAAAAATACTTATGTTCCTATGATTGACTTTAAGGCATATACCTAACGCAATCTTAACCAAAGAAAATATTCTCCATGTGTAATTAGAATTTAGAATCATTCATCAAGTTTTCAAAAACAAAAAACGGTGAGGATGACTTAAACTCATTGATGGCAAACTTGGAAGTTCCAAACTCCAAACGAAACATACTTTCTTTCAGCTTTCAAGTTGTAGTTAGTTGATTATCACAAACTGTTGTTCAGAACAGTAGAAGCAGATATATACTACTAATACAAGTTGCAAAGGGCCTAGAATCAGGAAAGTTAAGGTCAGCTAACAGTCACAAATTCCCAACTAATGGTAACAAGGTTAACCTGGTCCAATCATCTGGTATTACACTTCAACGAACAGATGACATGCTAATCAATCTCCACTAGCACAGCCCCTACAACCACAATGCACACACTCTATAACCTTCTCCTCCCGCAGATGCTTGGGCACTCGGCAAACGCATGTAGTGGCATAGTTATGATCCCGAGGCTGCATGCATCTCAAACAGCAGAGACGTTCATAACCAGGCTGCATTTTAATCGCAAACCATATGTCATTGTATGTTATTAGAGTTGAGTGGTAATATAATAATAATTCAACAGACTTAGATAAAATGACACAAGGTACACGAGTTTGCAATATTTTCCTCATAATTCCAATGTTCTAATAAAAGTAACTGTTATCCAATAGTTTTACGTACAACCTGCAAATATATTACAGAAGGTGCAATACATGTAGAATGGGAACTTCAAACTGAGTTCAATCAAATGTTGAAAGATCTCTCATATTGCTTAATATCTTCTTGGTATGCATATCCATGTCATAACTACACATGTCCCATGTGTATGTATTTCCCTTGCATTTGCCAATTTTCTAGCAATGCTATGTTCACTCCAATTTTCAAATATAAAATATTCATGCTTATACTCTTTGAACCTTATTTACAAGGAACTCCAATTCCAAACCAGACAACTTATTTCCAAGTTTGATATATCATGCAGTGAACTCCACACACAAATAATCCAAATGAAGAAAAAGAAAACAAATCAAGATAGAAGAGATCTGAGATAAAACCTTTTTCCATTTTGCAATTAGATTGCGGTCAGCATAGCCTTGGTCCAGGCAGAACTCGTATAATTCCTTGGATATTTCATTTCTTCGGTGGTAAAGGTCAAAAATGTAGCGGCTCTTTTGATGTGCTATTTTGAAAATAGGCCACAAGGTCTCACATTTCCTCTTACAACTAGGTTCAAAAATAGGAACATATTCATGAACCAATTAAAGTCGTAGAACACATGAATATGTGTACTGACATGTATGAAAGGGGGTTTGTGTTTTACCATAAATTATGAATGCAAGTGTTACCATTTAATTTTTGGAGTTATTTTCGTCTGAAAAAGATTTAGGAACTTTTACACATTTCCTGGATCCACCACTGTATAAGTGGTAAGTTGGTAACACATAACGATCTTTGATAAGTTTTCCAAAGAAGGGTTTCATCTGATAGTTTTCCCTTTCTAAGTTGTACCCTTGGGGACTATTTATACATAGTTAATTGTATATACGTGTTCTATCATTGTTTTCATCTGATGCCCTTTAAAAAATTTCAATTTCTTTGTTTGTGATAGATAAATCAAGGAGGGAAACAGTGGGGAAATAAATCTGAATTTGTTTAAAGACACAAATTTTTCTATGGTTTTGAGTCGTGAACCAATTCATCATCTTGAGTTTGCTTAAATAAATCTGAACTTTCAATTCTATTTGGTTATAGCTGAATATTATTCCGGAGACAGATTCTCAAAGTTGTAACCTAGCTAATTTGACACAACTCTGCTGCCATTTTATTCAGATTAACAATCATTTTTGTTTTGCTTTATTATTAGGGTGTGAAACTACTAAAGGCATCATTGCAGACAAAGTCAGTTCTCACCCATGTGTTCCTTAGGTAGAATGTCAATGCAGCATGAGCACCTCAACTTAGCACCTCTGGAATTGACACTCTGAAGCTTCTCTAAGATGTTTCTTTTTTGAGCTGGTTTAGTTTGTTTTTACCTGGTTATTTTGGAAGTCTTCACAGATCTGCTGCTTAAATGAGATGCAATGTCGTTCTTTTCGGATTATTTGCCCCCTACTTTTCATTTATGATGTTTTGGATTTTCAAATTATGTTCACGCCTTGCAAAAAACTTATGAAATTTTAAGGATTATAAGCAGGCTGCGAGCTCTTCTAGTGCGAACCTGAGAGTGTGTATATATATAGCAAGGCCACATAAAAGGAACCGATGTTGATTCCTATCAACCCATACTTGAGCATGGTCTTTCTAATTTAACACCTTAATGAAAACAATTTCTACTCCAACCTAGAATATATATTCAAAATGTGAGGATGTGAAGAAACCTCTCACATTGGTAAGTTAACAAACCTTTGAATGGCTTATAAGGAATTGAGCTACTTTCCCATTGACAATTAATTTTAGGATGGACTCTCAACTTCCTTCATAGTATTAGAGATAGGATTGCCCACGTGTGAAGCCCAACAGTCACATGCTCAAAGCCACCCAATATATGTATTATCCATGTGTTAGGCTTGAAATTTCTCCACACATGCCAGGGCTTGTAAGGATGTAAAGAAATGTCTCGCATCGAAAATTTAACAAACCTTCGAAGAACTTATAAGGAGTTGGACTACTTTTGAAGTGGAATCTCAACTTCATTTATTTTAAAACTCAGTCACATATATAACCAACATATTGAGATCGACAAATTCCAAATAGCTTTTTGTTAACCCAATTTGAAACATTTGAGAATCTATCTACCAAACCTTTCCTTTTTATACATACGTTAGTAAGAGGGCAATCCTTGACGGTGCGTTTGGATGAGGAAATTTAAAAGTACAAAGAAATTTATAAATTACGGAATTTGAAATGACGGAAATTAATGTTCTAGAATTTGTAAAATATCTGGTTTGGGTGAGGGATTTAAAATATGGAATTTAACCTTTATTTGTAAAGTTATCTTTTTTAAAACTCAATCTCTCTTGGAATTTGAGAAATGACGACTTTTAGATAGAATTTAAAGTTGAGATTTATGACCTCCAAATTCCATATTTTTCTCACGCGTAATTTCTAAGTGCCCGTTCGATAACATTTTCAGAGAATATTTTCAGAGAATGAAAATAAGAAAACGAATTTGCATTTTCAGGATTTGAAAATGCGTCTGGTAGATTAATTAGAAAATAGATTCATAAAATAAAAACAATGAAAACGTGTCTGGTAGTACAATTTAAGAATAATAATATATGAGTTATTTTTCAAGTGTATTTTTGCTAATTTATGTTCTAAAAAAATATTTTAAAAAATGTATAATTTGATTTTTTTTTTTTTTTTAAGTTAAAATTATTTTTTTTTTTTTTTTTTTCCTTTTTT